CTTTAAAGTGCTACATAGTTCTGTCTTTTGTTTCAGCTACCCCAGACTAACACGGCTGCATCTCTATCAGAAAATCTAAGGTACTGCAAGAAATGGCAGTGGTGGTGTTTATCCATCAAGACCTAATCCAGACCCCATTGACCACACTGGAAAGATTCCCATTGATTTCACTAGTGTGTGATGTACCTCAGCCAGCACTGAACCACTATACCAGGAGACACTGGGCTAAGAAAGATGTAATCTTTTTAGATAAGGCATTTTCAATGAGCATCTCTAATATTTAATTTGTAGAACCTGTCCAATGTTTTTAGCCAAAATTCAGCATTTGGCCATCCATCTCTCATTTCAGCTGCTGACGGGAAGAAGAGGAGCCCTAGCAACCCAACAGATTTCTCTGATCCAAAGGCCAAGTGAGGAGGAAAGGGAGAAAAAAATCCTCTCGAGTGTCCTCCTGGCATTCCGTCCCTTGGCCAAAATGGGAAGAGAAGATGGCATTCCTCTGGCCAGCTGGTAGAGCCTCTCTCTTCTGATACAAGGGCCTAATTTAAAGCCTACTGAAGCCCAGAGATGTCTTTCCATTGAATTTAACAAGTGAAAGATCAGGTTGCAATTGAATAAAAGGAAGAAGAAGGTTTTTGAGGTGTCGGTAGATACCTCTGCTTTCCTAGCAGAAATTGAATGTAGGAATAACACACAATCCTAGATCCTTCACTTCTCTGAGTGAGAAGTGAGCAAGGAACTCCAGCTAGCCAACCACACACAACACATACACCCACACACTCAGAATAGAAAAAAAATGCAATCTAGTTAGGTCCCTTTACTAAATGGCCCAGTTTCCATCCTTTTTAATGATACTGTCTTGATGCGGAAAGGCAGCTTAGTTGTTTTTCATCCATTCATCTCATGAAGACTTCAGAAGGCCAACAAACTTGTAAAATAAGCAAGGTACTGTAAGGCCAGGAGTACATCGGGAGAAAAAATTGATTAAAGATTCGCGACTTCATCTACATGAATTGAGTAGCTGCAGTCGACGTAACTTGTACTGATTTTCTAGAATGGCCCCACAGCAGGAGATCAATGAGAGAAACTCTCCTGTTTACTTCCTTTACTTCTCATGACTGTGAAAAGATCCAGGGTCAATGGGGGCTCCCTTAGGATTTGGATGATCAACCTCAAGCATGCCAATGTTCCCAGAAGTGAAGACAAGACCTGAGGAAGAAAACCCCGTTGTACATCCCATCCTCTTTGATACTTTCAATGGAGAGGTGCCATTCACCATTTCATCATGTAGCAATCAAAGTGACAACAATCCTTTTCCTCCTCTTACAATTCAATTAACTATGTGAGTTTTAATTCATAAACAGCTAGCAATATGATTAAATGAATGTATCAAGTTTGTCCCAACACTGCATTTCTGGACAATCAAGTCTTTGCAGCCACAAGAATGTACCAATAGGTGAACAATCCCTAATGCTAACTGCACAGCTAAACATTGAAAAAGAAGAAAAATATGATGTGCTTAAGGACATTCTTGCACTACAATCAGGATTATAAATTCAAATTAGTATGGGGAACATCTCAACACCAAAGAAGAAAAGCTAACAGGGGGACAGAAAAAGCAGGGGGGAAAAAGCATCCATTCAAATTGCTGTTGAATGTAGCAGAGGAACCAAGCAGGATTAAACTAGGTGCAGAAATTTGGAAAGACAGGGGCAACTAAGGGAGAAAAGCTTGGGTTCGAATGAGATTCAGTGTCAGGGTATCAGTTTTAACAAATAGGTACTGTTTACTGAATAGGACAGTTATCTGACCCATAGCAATAAGATACTTGCCCTTCACTCTGAGATGTCACACTGAGGCCTTGACCACTTCTGATCCCTAAAACTGCAGTTTTTGTAAGAGGCAGGATGTGAACCCTATTCTCGAGGGCAAATTCTAACTTGGCTAATAGTATTCTTCCAACCAAAAAAAACATTGTCCCTTCTCTTCAGTGGGAGAAGTTATTTTCATTGTGTATCCTAACATCTTGTGTGACATTGCTGTGTACTGCTGATGGCTGAGTTTATAGGGGCAATGATCCTATAAAGTTTATCAAGTCTGTAAAGACTTAAATAAGTTTCTGTAAAGCTTGTCTCTTCTCCCAACTGAAGTTCGTCCAATAAAAAATATTACCTTATTCACCTTGTCTCTCTAGTATCCTGGGACCAACACAGTTACAACAACACTACAAAGCACTAAGAATAGAAGTCCTCTGAATAAAAAGTTATGGTCTGTATGTAAGTCATTATCATAGAGCCTCTGTAGAGCTGTAATATCAAACCATATTCAGCACTGAATTAGTTTCCATTTCACTATGTTATAAGTGATACTGACAGCTAAGAAGTGAGTAGTGGCATATTGTTAATGCAAAATAAAGACGGCAAGGGGAAAAATCCTTTATGTTGCTTGAAAGTATGGCTCAGACCTAGTAGTCACATTGAATATGGAATTCATTTCAATAGCAAATCACAAACATGACACCAAGGTACCTGATAAACTTTTAAGTAGAGTTCACAAGTTAAGTCCTTGCATGACAATTGAATTTTTAGAGGGTAAGCACTGTGCAACAGAAACTCCACCATTTTTAGCATGCCATGTTATAGCTGTAACAGAAACAAATAATAATAATGTATAATGTTAATAATACAGGACAAGTTTAATAGGAAGCAAAGTCACATCTACTACTTAACACAATGTAAATATGTAACATAAATAGAGAAGAAATGTTTGTTGTTTTATTTTCCCATCTTAGGGTATATCTAGACAGCACCATTCTGTCGGAATAAGCTCCGCAGTTTGCATAGCACAAATTGTATAGCTTATTCCGAGTCTAGGTTGAAAGAGCTTATTTTGAAATTTGGTGCTGCGTAGACAGTGCCAAATTTCAAAATAAGGCACTATTCTGACAAATCCCTTAATGTTACAGAGATGCCAGAATAGCAGGCTTTAAATAGCTGGTGCATTTAAAGAGGGGGTGTTGCTATTTCAGGATACTTCTGGTATCCCAAAATAGCATTGCTGACAGTCTAGATGTACCCCTACTTTCTGATTCTGCAAGTATGCAGAACTTGGGCTATGGGCTCTGAGCAACAAAACCCTTCCTATGAGGGAGATGCTGCGATGATCTAACGGCATGAAATAACGGCAACCTGTCCTCACTATAAGTGGAGAGGCTTGTAATGGCCTGTAAAGTCACGAGATGAATGTGGCTGGTGCAGAAAGGACAAGGCACATCAGTAGGTGTCCTGAATCACTGTTATGCATGGATTCCTCACCTCCTCTAGGGAGCCCCTTCTAGCAGCACAGCTACCATGTAGTCATGGCCTGAAGATGTAAAGATACTCAGTATGAGTTCCAACAGAGGAGGGCAACAATTCTGCTGTTTCCCATTTCCTGAAGGCCAAAGCCTTCTCCAGCACAATTGCCACTGCAGGCAAAGTGGTATGCAAACTATATCCTCTGCACCCACAAGTATTATTCTTTACCACTGTTTTTATACTTTAGTTTAAGGCTTCACAATTAAGAATGTGTTGAAGCAGGTTTGGAGAGCTGAGTTGATTTTGCTATGAAGATCTTTCTCAGAATTTCTTTGAACTCCTTGATCTCAGTGATGGGCTGGGAATTATATAAGAATGAATTATTTCACAAAATTACTGACATTGTTTGGCATAACTGGGATGCATATTTTGCAGGCAAAGTTTGGTTTGAATGAAGGATAGAACCAGCTCTTACTTTATTCATGCCAGATGGCCAATCTTTAATCATTATGCAACAAACTACCTGTCCATTACAACCAAGCAATCAACATGACTATGGCATTGCAATTTTTTCACACATTTTCTTTTTTGCTGTGACTGTGTATCATATCGCACTAAAATCTCATCTCTGCTGCCTACTGCTATGAACTACTCATCTATAATACGGCTCAGCCTCAGAAATGTCAAGCAGAATGAAAAATGGAAAACTCATAAAAGAGAAACTTTACGTGGCCATAGCCACTCCCATGAAATTCTGTCACTGCCTCCATGGGAGGAGAAAGGGTATGCCTTTGCCCTTAACTGGCTGACCCCGGAAAAATAATGCAGGGTTAGTACTTGTTGTGAATATGAAAGAAGTATCCCTACTACTATCAAAAAAATCCCCCCTTTTTATCTGACATTAAAACAATACCAGTTCTTGTTTAACGACCTAATATTTCTAAAATTCCTTAATCTTCCCGATCTGTGCTTTTTCCTAAACGGCTTCATTTCCCTAAAAATACCAAAGCCTCATTATTTTTTTTAATGCACATTTCCTGTTTATAGCAGCTGCTGTAACTCAATAAGAGAATTAAGAAAAAATTCCATTTGACTTATGTGGCTATACCCAAGTAACCATCAATTTGACTTTTGAATATCCAGTACAGAATGCTTGCAGCAAAATATTTCTGGTATTAAAAGAAAAATTAATTTTAAAACATGGAGAGTAAATTAGAATAATGAATGAATTAAACAAAACCATGATCTGCTCATAGATATTTGACAAGTAGAAAAAGAGGCTAAATTCCTCTAATAAATTATTTTGAATTATTTTCTGTTTTTGCCAAGTGTATTCTGAAATAGTTATTAGAGAAATCTGCCAAGTTTCCAGTCTACGTGGTCCAGCTTCTCTGAACTAAATCTGCCAGGAAAACCTATGATGTCTAGTAAATATTTGTTCTAAAGCTTGTTTGATCCATGTACAGGTCATGTACAGGAGTAGTTACACCACTGTGCAGCTGGCTAATGTCCACAACCTCCAAGCCTCTGACCTTGCGGCCAGGAAATGGTATCAGGCTAGGGGATGAAAGCTATGCACATGTGCCATGTTTTGTACACAACATAAAGTTTACTGATGACATTTCTACATCATAATGAAGGGATTCTATAGGACTGGTATCCATTATTCTGTAAGGCCAGAAAAGTCCTCAACTATAGTATGCACAGGAATATACAGCTTGCCAAAACACCTGTTCAGGTAGAGGATTTTTATGTCCATGGAAGTCTATTTTCTTTCACGTGACAGCAACAAAAAAGCAACATACTTTTTGTTGATACTCTGTCCGATAGCTATTAGAGTCATACTAGTAGTTTTGTTAATATTCCCCCACCATTTGAACAGGATACTTTGGAAATAAGTATCCATAATGGAATCAGATTCTTGTACCACCATTTATCTGGTATCTGAAATCAAAGGAATGCTATTTCAGTTTTACTGGCAGAAAATCTACTCTAGCTTTGCAGCAGCGCTCACTTGAAATATTTGAAAATATTTCTGTTGGCAGCATTGACTGATCCATTTTGTGAGAGCAGGGTTAACAAATACATCCACCCCATGGAGACATAAACAAAGTGTTGGAAGCCACTCATCATACCATCCACCTTCTCCCCAGCTTCCTTGACAGGAACATCTCCTGAAACAGTGTTGTTTTCAAAGAACATCAAAAGGTGCAAATGTAAGTAATAAAATAGTGACAATCCCACTGTTCCTACAAGGACTAAGGCCGATAAAAGTAGCACCTGTATTATTTATGAGTTAACAGACTATATGCACTGATCAGAGCCCTTTCTTAAGGACACAATTAGGGTAAAAAATAGATCCCATAAGAAAGTGTAGTATATTTTGCTGCCTAAGACAATTTCAATGATGAATGTTTTATAAAATCAGAGGATTTAATGGATCAAGACCAAAAAAGTCAAATGAGACCAGTTGTGCCAAAAAGTTTTGTGCTTTATCTATGCTCATCGTGACATACTCAAAATTCAACTACAGTGCTCCTGATGGTTTTGTAATTGATAGAATAATTGTTCTTAATTCAGCTGTTGTTGAGTGTTTCAGTTTTTAAAATATTAATATAAAAACATTCACATATGATCTGCCTGCTCCTATCACATAAAGGGATGTTACAGAAAACACAGTCAGATGCATTAACTATAACTAAGTATTTTATCCTCAACTGAGAAGTGCCCTCTTTAATTATCTATGAAAAAAGTCAATTGTAATTTCCTTTACTCTTAGACATATTTGATTATTGGTAAGCAGGGACGCTAAATACCAGATGCCCAATTGTGGTATTTTGTCACCCCTCTTTGGAGAGATTGTAAATTCCTTTGGATGGTGAAACCTCTATCTTCAATATCCCTGAATAGATCTTCACATCATTGTGTACTGAAGATGGGGCCATAGCTCTACCTGCTGTTCATACACTTTGAGGAGGCTTGGATGGAGCAATCCCAGGGCTCACTGAAGCACAGGAACTGCAGCTGGATCTGGATCTGGAATAATTTCCATCTCAGTCATGAAAAAAACAGGAGACACAAGCCTCTCCCACCAGCAGCCTTGTTACAGGTGTAAGTGCTGATCTTTTTGCAGAACACAATGTTATGTCATGTGAAGAGGTTATGTGATGAAATTGAGGTTGAGAGGGGGAATGCTAGAAAGTGAGAAATCTAAGTTTCATAGAAGACCTTAAAAAAAATCTACCCTTCTTTAGTAATT